GATTGTAGTTCCAAAAGAGTAAAGCTCTAGGATAAGAAATGGTCAACACGTTTCGCCAGTGTATATGGCTTCTTCTGGACTGTGACTTCTATGTAAGGGGGAGCAGTACTAATTAGGAAGTGGCAGTCAGTGATACCTTCTAAAGAAACAGTGCAGCGCTAAAATAATATATATAAATTAAAAATGAATGTGTAATATAATCAATAATATTACTAAATCAAATCATCCAAATTAAATAGTGATATATAATATAAGTGAATAAAGTGCTATATTAGGTGCCAAAAATAAATATGATCATGTGAACAGTCTTTTAACAACAAAAGTGTTCATAAATTAGTGCAGGCTTGATGCGTTCGGGTCAGCATACAGTGCTCCATAAAGTCATAATGCACTTGTGACATCCAATAAATCCGTGTGACTTAATCCATGCAAAAGACTGTAAGAAATGCGCACTCACCAGATGCGCATGGTTAATGCACAATATGCTGAATATAAATCTGTAGGAAACCCCCTTTACATGGATCTGCCAGACAGCATGGAACCAGGATCCCTCCTCTGGACACAAGCCTCCTCTGCAGTCACGCTTCCACTGGGGTCCTGGGAATCCTTAGCTCAAATCAGAGCTTCTGAGAAGTTCTGAATATCTCATCAATCATCATTATAGTGAATGAGCATGTTATGGCCAGCACAGCAGTACTCTGGTTATATTCTGAATGCATTGAGGTTTTTACACTTGCCCTCTGCTATTTTCTTATAAATTAGAACAGTATTTATCGTGAGAGTCTCATTTAACATGTGCAATCACAGGAAATAAAACACAAAATATAAAATAAAGAGTAAAATATATTTCCAGCATGTAGGTGTTATTTGAGTAATCATCAGATTATCCTAAATCATGTTGTTGTCATTCATTACCATTTTCTAAATTATGCTAAAACAATAAGTGTAATAGTGATTCATACTTCCTGTGCAATTAACACCATAAACAAATCTGTTTAGAAATCCATTTTATGGTTTAGTAGATTATTCATGTGCCAAGAAAAAAAATAATCCTTTAACAATAGAGAGCTGCAGATAAAATCATGAAGCAAGTAGATGTTCATATATCAGTGGAATAAATATACTCCATAGCAATTCTCACATTAGACTCAGTTTACTGAGGTGGATAAGTTATTTTAACTCTGCTCCTTATTTTATGTCATGGCGTTTTTCTGCTTGAAATATCACAGGAATCGGCTGAAATTCAAGCCCCTGTATGGCCAGCTTTATGCCTTGTGCTGCTTCTACCTCTCCCAGTCTGAGCCCTGCTGGCTAGGTCACCATGTATGCTGGGTATGTGTGGGCTATACACAGTACTGGTCATCATGTATGCTGGGTATGTATGGGCTCTACACAGTACTGGTCATCATGTATGCTGGGTATGTATGGGCTCTATACAGTACTGGTCACCATGTATGCTGGGTATGTATGGACTCGACAGTACTGGTTACCATGTATGCTGGGTATGTATGGGCTCGACACAGTACTGGTTACCATGTATGCTGGGTATGTATGGGCTCTACACAGTACTGGTCACCATGTATGCTGGGTATGTATGGGCTCGACACAGTACTGGTTACCATGTATGCTTGGTATGTATGGACTCTACACAGTACTGGTTACCATGTATGCTGGGTATGTATTGGCTGTACACAGTACTGGTTACCATGTATGCTGGGTATGTATGGGCTCGACACAGTACTGGCTACCATGTATGCTGGGTACGTATGGGCTCGACACAGTACTGGCTACCATGTATGCTGGGTATGTATGGGCTCTATAGTACTGGTTACCATCTATGCTGGGTATGTATCGGCTCTACACAGTACTGGTTACCAAGTAAGCTGGGTATGTATGGGCTCCACACAGTACCGTTTACCATGTATGCTGGGTATGTATGGGCTCAACACAGTACTTGTTACCATGTATGCTGGGTATATACATATGGGCTCTACACAGTACTGGTTACCATGTGCGCTGGGTATGTATGGGCTCTACACAGTACTGGTTACCATGTATGCTGGGTTTGTATTGGCTTTACATAGTACTGCTTACTATGTATGCTGGGTATGTATTGGCTCTACACAATACTGGTTACCATGAATGCTGGGTATGTATTGGCTCTACACAGTACTGGTCACCATGTATGCTGGGTATGTATTGGCTGTATACAGTACTGGTTACCATGTATGCTGGGTATGTATGGGCTTGAAACAGTACTGGTCACCATCTATGCTGGGTATGTATGGGCTCTGCACAATACTAGTTAGCATGTATGCTGGGTATGTGTCAGCTCTACACAGTACTGGTTACCATGTATGCTGGGTATGTTTTGGCTCTACACAGTACTGTTTACCATGTTGCTGGGTATGTATGGGCTCGACACAGTACTGGTTACCATCTATGCTGGGTATGTATGGGCTCTATACAGTACTGGTCACCTTGTATGCTGGGTATGTATGGGCTCGACACAGTACTGGTTACCATGTATGCTGGGTATGTATGGGCTCGACACAGTACTAGTTACCATATATGCTGGGTATGTATGGGCTCTACACAGTACTGGTTACCATGTATGCTGGGTTTGTATTGGCTCTACACAGTACTGGTTGCTATATATGCTGGGTATGTATTGGCTGTATACAGTACTGGTTACCATGTATGCTGGGTATGTATGGGCTTGAAACAGTACTGGTCTCCATCTATGCTGGGTATTTATGGGCTCTGCACAATACTAGTTAGCATGTATGCTGGGTATGTGTCAGCTCTACACAGTACTGGTTACCTTGTATGCAGGGTATGTATTGACTGTACACAGTACTGGCTACCATGTAAGCTGGGTATGTATGGGCTCTACACAGTACTGTTTACCATGTATGCTGGGTATGTATGGGCTCAACACAGTACTTGTTACCATGTATACTGGGTATGTATGGGCTCTATAGTACTGGTTACCATCTATGCTGGGTATGTATCGGCTCTACACAGCACTGGTTACCAAGTAAGCTGGGTATGTATGGGCTCTACCCAGTACTGTTTACCATGTATGCTGGGTATGTATGGGCTCAACACAGTACTTGTTACCATGTATGCTGGGTATATACATATGGGCTCTACACAGTACTGGTTACCATGTGCGCTGCGTATGTATGGGCTCTACACAGTACTGGTTACCATGTATGCTGGGTTTGTATTGGCTTTACACAGTACTGGTTACTATGTATGCTGGGTATGTATTGGCTCTACACAATACTGGTTACCATGAATGCTGGGTATGTATTGGCTCTACACAGTACTGGTCACCATGTATGCTGGGTATGTATTGGCTGTATACAGTACTGGTTACCATGTATGCTGGGTATGTATGGGCTTGAAACAGTACTGGTTACCATCTATGCTGGGTATGTATGGGCTCTGCACAATACTAGTTAGCATGTATGCTGGGTATGTGTCAGCTCTACACGGTACTGGTTACCATGTATGCTGGGTATGCTTTGGCTCTACACAGTACTGGTTACATCTATGCTGGGTGTTTATGGGCTCTACACAGTACTGGTTATTATGTATGCTGGGTATAATTTTAAGTACCTGTTCTTATTTTATATGTATGTACTTAGCATAGTACTGCTTATCACGTGTATGCTGGCTGTAATCCTTAGTATCTGTTCTTATTCTGTATGTACAGTATGTACTTTGTAGAGTACCACATTTCTTGCTCTATAAACTGTGTTTCATTCTCTAATATGCTATGCAGCATTGTAATGTGAGCACAAGCTGTGTTTTGATGGTAGCCGGTAGGTGTGGCTGTGACAGCCTGGACTTACAGGAAGTAGGGCCAGATTTATACCTTGGGGGACCCGGGGCACTTCAGGTTTGGGGGCCCCTTATACACAAAGCTGATTTACCTTCTCAGTGACACGTCACATGTTTCTAAAATGCATGACACGTCATTCTGAGCTCACACATGCAAACACACACGCAGTCAATGCGCTCTATGTATGGTTCGCTTGAGCTGCCAAAATTTGTTTTAAAAGAAGATGCAATATACCAGTCCAGATGAAAATCTTTTACAGATGATGGCTGGCAAAATATTACTCCCCAGAATACTATTAATAATACATTTTTAATTATACATTTTATATTATATTATTTTAATTTATTTTTTATTATTTAAATAATTTTTGTATAGAGGGGGGCCCCTTCTGTCAGGGGGGCCCAGGACAGTTCCCCCTTTTGCCCCCTTATAAATCCAGCACTGACCGGAAGTGTTTAAATAACACTGGTTGTCATTCAGCCAGAAATGGGTTGACAACCAGCGGTGAAGGAGGATGCAGAGAACAGTGCTGGAGTGTGGTAAGCAGTGCAAAACAAACTTTTTTGGGGGAGGGTTTAAAAAAAAACAGCCTAGAATTTGATTTTTTCTGTCATCTAGAAGCACAATGGTTTTAGTGCAGTGCAAATGTGTTGAGATCTAGCAAGAGGCTAATGCTGAACTTCAGGAATTATCTTTTTATAAAAACATATATTGGCCCAGGTTTGGGGACAGCTAGTTCTTCATATCTCACACATTCGAAAGGCCGTTGGGGATGCAAAAATTCATTATATCAGCCTGTGCTACATAGAATCAGAACTGGTCTCCTCTGGGTGCTGTTGATTTGCCATCTGAATACTGAACACGGAGTTGTTGCTCGCTTGGCACCTCCACCTTTCATAAAAATGTCTTTTTACTGAATTTTGTCAATCACAACAAGGCATTCTCTGATTGAATGAGGCCAAGATTCTGACCTCATCCACCCTCTCTGCCTCATCCAACCAGAGAATGCCTTGTATTTGTTAAAAAAATGCTAGCGTTTCTCTAAATTGTGGAGGTAAAGGAGCAAGGAACTCGTTTTGTTCAGTACACAGAGGGCAACTTGCTCAAGCAACACCCGGAAGAGACTGTGTAGTAAAGGCTACTACCAGGGGTGGACTGACCATTCGAGCGCTCGGGTACTGCCCAAGGGCCCGGGGTCAGTAGGGGCCCCATGAGATGCCCCTGGTACCTTTTCATTGGCTTTTTTGGGTGTTGGCGAGGACACAGGGGCCCCATGATCCCCTATTGCCCGGGGGCCCCATGAGTTGTCAGTCCGCCCCTGGCTACTACAGTGCATTTTTGCATCCCCAGCAGCCCTCCAGATGTGAGATATGAAGGATTAGCTGTAACCAAGCAGGTTCAATACAGGTTTAAATAAAAAAAAATTCCTGAGATTCAGCTTTAAATGATTTGATTGCTAGTGTAGCCCAAGCCTTAGTATTTTGCCAAATCAGGAAAGAGCAGGATTGCTTTGTGCTTTTATTTATTAAGAAAGAACAATTTTCCACTCAGCGTACAAGAAGGAGTTTTTGTTTCAGTGACTGAATATAGAAGTTGAAATGGAATCTTACAGGATTTTGTAACATTTCTCTAAACATAGCCCTCGCTATTCAGTTACGTTCCATCTGCATTTTCTCTTTTATCGCTGTAAAAAAAACAAAAAACAAGGCTATTGTAGAATCTATTGTACAGAACTTTTGATATACATTTAGGTTGCTTTTACTACAATTTAAACTGACCTGACAATAATGACCCAGCAAAAAGCAAACAACCTTTATTTCTAAGTAAAAACTGCTCATCAAATTCAAATGCACCATAAATACCTCCAAAATATAGATTGCACATCACTAATGCATCTTAAATGGGGCCTGTTTTTTTTATTGAGCACACTTGAAATGAAATCTTTTTGTTTTTATAGGTATAATTTGCTTTCCTTTGCCTCTGATACCCATGTACACTGCTATTATGGAATCCTCAACCCACTACTTTTCCAAGGGCCATGTATGCTCTTAGCTGTTGACAGCTGACAGTCAGTCACAGTCACAGACAGTATATTTTATCCTCTAAACCACGGGTGTCAAACTGGCGGCCCTCCAGCTGTTGCCAAACTACAAGTCCCACGAGGCATTGCAAGATTGACAGTTGCAAGCATGGGTCCCAAAGGCAGAGGCATGGTGGGACTTGTAATTTCGTAACAGCTGGAGGGCTGCCAGTTTGATACCCCTGCTCTAAACCAACACCTGTTGGCCATGTCAGAAATCACTTGGTAGCATTTTGAAGTTGTTAAGACCACCAACGTAACACATTTTCAAAGAGGAAAACCAGTGATGGTCAGATGATTACATATAGGGGATTCAACGGCAACCACTGACATCCCCAAGGGGGCCACGCATGTTGCTAACAGGCCCGTCGCTACCAAAAGTTGGTCTATGCAGCCGACTTGGAGTGGTAGAATAGGGAGGGGGTGGTAAAATCTGAATCCCCAGCCACTTGCTAGAGATTTGGATTTTTACAGAGTTGCAGACATGTGTGTACCTTAGTAATGCTGACTGTTGGCTTTCATGTGGAGTTGATACAAGTGGCTGTGAAGCCGCCAATCACTTCCAAAACCACCGCCGCAATGTGCCTATCAGTGTCGCCTCATCGCTGCCTATCAGTGCCCATCAGTACTGCCTATCAGTGCAACCTCTTCAACGCACATCAGTGAAGGTGGAAAATTACCTGTTTGCAAAATTTTATAATAAAAACAAAGAAAACCTTTTCTTTTTTTTCAAATTTTTTGCTCTTTTTTTGTTTATAGTGCAAAAAATAAAACTCCCAGTGGCGAGTAAATACCACCAAAAGAAAGCTCTATTTGTGTGAAAAAAGTGCTAAAAGTTTCATTTGGGTACATGACAGCACAATTGTAGTTCAAAGTGCAACAGCACTGAAAGGTGAAAATTGGCCTGGGCAGGAAGGGGGAAAAGTGCCCAGTAGGGAAGTGGTTTTAAACAACAAGGTGGAAACTGAGGTAAGGGTTGTGTACAATAAATAGAAAGTGTTTTCTTTTCTGCAAAAGAAGGACATTTATGTTATATTGGTACATTGGGAGCTGGAATTTAGAAAAAAAGGTGAACTTATCCTTTAAAGCAACCTTTCTGAACCTTTTCAAAACAGGGGAACCCTTGAAAAACCTTTCCAATCCCAGGAAACCCCTTCTAAAAATTACTATATCTACAACCCATGATACATTAGTGTGATGGTCAGTGGATAGAATGCTCCTTACACTTGGGGTCACTGGGAGGAATTACCCCCTTACAGATCGCTAAGAAGATCAATGATGTCAGTTGGAACTTATCTGAGAGGTGGAAATTGCTCATTGCTCAAGGAACCCCTAGCAACCTCTGGAGGAACCCTGGTTGAGGAACTCTGCTTTAAAGTAACACACCTCCAGCCAGAAGCAAACTCCTCATTTACTCAGCAGTAAAGTAGTACAATTTTGAAGCACTGGCAAAGTAATAGATATTTAGGATTTCATTCCATAATGCCCACATCTTCCGGTACAATTTCAAGTTCTTTTTCCCTGTAGCTCAGTGTCATGTGTCTTATGGCCCATAACTAGGAAAGCCCACATGGGAGAACTAAACATCCTTCTACTTAATTCTCTGTTACATCTTTTAACTTTAAAGCGGAGTTCCAGTCGCAATGTGAAAAAGTCAAAACTGTAGCTGCTGACTTTTAAAAAACAGCCACTCACCTGGCCTACGTTCTTGCGATGTCCTCCCCGCAGCCCGTTTCACCAGCCATCTGGTGTTCCATCACAGCTGCTGATCTTAGTCCAGCATCCTGGTTTTGGTTGTTCAGCTGAAAAGTGAATAATGTGGCCAGTCTCTAAGTGGAGACTAAACGTGATATAAGCCAGCCAAGCCTGCAGTCTCATGCTTGTGATATTGTGTTTGTAACACGTGCTGCATTCTCCTTGTTTGCCTGCTCTGCTGTTTGGATTCCCTTGTTGACAACCTTGGATCGGATATCGACTACTCTCTGAACTCTGCCTGACTTTCAACTACGGATCTGACCCTGACTATTCTCTGAATTTTGCTTGCCTTTTACCTGGACTGTCATTAAACCACTCTTCCTGTCTCCCAATCGCAAGTACTTGTTTGCTGTGCTCAATTCGCACCTGCTTCAGCATGGTAGCCAGGCAATATAGCATTGCGTATAGGTCCTGGCAGCAACCGAGCATCGGTAGGCCTGCTTGCCTTATGAAAAAGGGGGCTGCAATGGGTGAAAAACACAAAAGCCAGCTATAGTGTCTGACTACCTGCGTTAAGAGTAAGCATGACAAAGACATGCTGATAGGTTATTTGGCTCCTGTATAAACTGCTCTTAGTATGTGTATATATGGATGTCAGTTAAAGACTTTAGATGGTAAGCTCCTTGAGGTCAGGGACTGATGTGCATGTATACAGTAATATACAGTATGTAAAGCACTGCATAAATTGATATTGCTATATAAATACCTGTAATAAATAAAAATAATATTTGTACCCCCTGTGCAGCTGGGACTAAGGAGTCCCATAGTAGTCTCCTTTACATGTGCGCGCCCTCTTGGATTTTAAAGAGGAGCTCAGAGATGGAAATTTAAAAAAAAAAGCAGCAAATACATGTACGTTATGTTATTGTTATCTGTTTTATGAGGAAAAAAATTACATTAAAATCCACTTTAAGGATACCGCCTGCTTGAATGTATGCTTATCTATTCCTAGTTCTCTTATGTAAAAGTAACATGAGTTAATTAGTAACCAATAAAAGCTAACTGGAAATTTAATTTAAACTGTGCCATTGGAGTCTATAATCAGAGTAACAACTGTATCATCTGGACTTTCATGATTGACTCGGTCTCAGTCATATGTCTTAAAAAAATGCTGATTTTAATCCATTCAATGTTGACCTTTATCAGTATAAGACTCTACCTTATCTAAGGCTAATTCAGGTAATTACACTAATTACATTTGAAAATAAATATCATGTTTTTTTAATGAATAGATACATAATTACTTAGTGATTTTATATGTGCTTGGCATTTTAAGCTGTACTAACAGAATTAGAAATAAAATAGAGTACACTGTGTATACTTGGACCAAATGTACATTGACTTTATGCACAATAGTTCAGGATACATTTTATATATTTCTTTTTATGTGACCTATCAGGCTCCATGCACACTGGATGTTTTTAATAATGCTGCATGTCTAAATCACATTAAAAACGCATGTTTTTCAGCTTTTTTTTAGCGTTTTTGCATTAGTGTTTAGCCGCGATTTTTAGAGTTTTTTTTTACACACACCCAAAAATTTTTGCTTCAAAAAAGTCCAAAACACCAGTTTGCCACAGGTTACTGCATTGTACCACGTTTTGCTGTGTTTTACCGTGTTTTTCAGCATTAGAGCATTTTCACAGCTAAAAACTCCTCCAGAGACCCACTAGTTCTGGGGTTTTTTTTCAGCCAAAAATGCTGATTACAGCCTATGTGTGCATGGACACATAGGATAACATGGTGGGGAGTTTATTGGCTGTAGAAAAAAACCGCCAAAAGCCAAAAACAGCAGCTGTAAAAACATCAAGTGTGCATGAGGACTTAGAAAACACTCTACATAGTAATACTTTGACTAGACTACATTTTCACATTTTTATATTTTCTTTAACAACCTGGGAAAAAGTTCAAGGATGTTTATAATGTAGAACATAAAAATCAAGCAAGCAATGACAAAATATATAACTTGTAATGACTTTACTGTCTGACAGTCCATGAAACCTGTGTCACTGTTAATATTTGCTATCTGTCAGCTTAGCAGGTTGATTCTCTTAATTTACAAGTGATCAGCCCAGAGAGCCATGTATAAACCGTCTGAGAGGTACAGGAGGAAGCATCATCATCTGGATAATAATGCAACTGTCACTATTTGAGGTTATAACATGAACAGAGTTGAGGTGCAGGTATGACAACTAGAAACGTCTGCCACATGTCTTCTATCTGGCAGCTAAATTGGAAATTTCTGATACCAGAACAAGTAGTTCTTTAACCTTTCTACCTAATGATTTTTTAATTTTAACAACTAATCTATCTGTTCTGCTCCTGAACCCCTCAGTATTTAAATGTTAACCACTTGCCCTCCAGAGGATTTAACCCCCTTCCTGACTAGGCCATTTTTTTTATATGGCGCTGCATTACTTTAACTGATAATTGTGCAATCATGCAATGCTGTACATAGATTAAATTTATGTCCTTTTTCCCCCACAAATGGAGCTTTCTTTCGGTGGTATTTGATCACCAGTGCGTGATCAAAAAAAAATTTAAAAAACAAATTTCTTCATAAATTTAGGCCAAAATGTATTCTGCTACATGCCTTTGCTAAAAAAAATCCAAATACGTGTAAATTAATTGGTTTATGTGAAAGCTATACAAAGGGTGGTATATATACTGGAATTTTTTTTTTTCTTTAAATTATATTAGTAATGGCGACGATCAGCGACTAATCTAGAAAAACAGTTCAGCGCTAAGAAATTACTTATAAATGAAAAATGAATGTGTAATAAAATCAATAATAATATTAGATGAATTCATCAAAATTAAATAAAATATAAAATAAATTAAATAGTGATATATCATATAAGTGAATAAAGTGCTATGTTAGGCACCAAAAAATAAACGTGATATTGTGTACAGTCTTTTAACAAAAAAAGAGTGTTCATAAATTAGTTATCAGGTCAGCATATAGTGCTCCATAAAGTCCTAATGCACTTGTGACAACCAATAAATCCGTGTGACTTAATCCATGTGAAAGACTGTAAGAAATGCGCACTCACCAGATGCACATAATTAATGCGAAATATACGAAATAAGAATCTGTAGGAAACCCCCTTTATATGGATCTGCCAGACAGCATGGAACCAGGATCCCTCCTCTGGACACAAGCCTCTTCTGCAGCCACGCTTCCACTGGGGTCCTGGGAATCCTTAGCTCAACTCAGAGCCAAAACAAAAGATGCTCATAGTGTAGTATTATTGTAAATTTATTATGAAAAAAATTGCTAAATAGTCATCCACGTGGAAATGTACAAATGTAGCAGCATAAACCAGCTCCGGCGGCATGACGTCACGACATATGGCTCCTCCTTGACACATTTTGTGCGCAGACACATTCTCAAAAGGGGTGTGCAAAAGGTTGGTAGACAAAAAATGCTATAAAATTCATTTTATTATTCAAAACAATCTCCTCCATCCATCCATGTCTCCATGCTTTATTTTGCTGAGAAATCATTTTGAAAAACACCTCCTGGCATTCCTGTCAGTGGCCATCTTGAGTAAGGGCAGATGATTCATGTAGCAGTTACTTCCTGGAATCCATCTGTCCTTAGCTCTGGCTGAGCTGAGAACCCTCCCTCCCCTCCGGAAGACTCCTGGGATGTATGACATAATTTGCCTAGGCATGGAAACCAGGAAGTAAATGAAGGAATGCAAAACAAAAAGTTAAAACAAGTAAATATGATATACTTTCCTATCTGTTTACTAATACTAGCAGCATAAGGATTAGAAATAGCCCATGTTGATTGAGAAAGTGAAGATCCACTTTAAAGTAAGTGTTAGGGTCCTTTCACACGGGCGTTCATTTTTTTTTCTTCAGTTCAGTCACGTTTTTTCAAAGAAAAAACGGATGAGTTTACATCTGTTTTTTCATCCGTTTACATCAGTTTTTTCATCTGTTTTTGCATCCGTTTACATCTGTTTTTTCATCCATTTTTAATCTGTTTTTAATCTGTTTTTCATCTATTTTCATCCGTTTACAGTGGCTTACGGCAGTTTTTTCATCCATTTAGATCCGTTTACATCCATTTTCATCCATTTACATCCATTTTTGTTTCGCTTACATCCGTTAACATCCATTTTTCATCCGTTTACATCTGTTTACATTGGCTTACATCCGTTTTTCATCCATTTAGATCTGTTTACATCCATTTTCATCCATTTTTGGTTTGATTACATCTGTTGACATCCTTTTTTCATCCATTTAGATTGGTTTACATCTGCTTTTCATCCATATAGATCCGTTGACATCTGTTTTTCGTCCGTTCTGGAGGTTTTTTTTTACAGAAGAAAAATAGGGTTTTCTTCCATTAAAAAAAACGGATGTTAACGGATGTGGACATTAACAGATGTTCATCCGTTTACATCTGCAAGTCCATAGAAATACATGGGGGTCTGTTTTACCATCCGTAAATGGGAGATGAAAAATGGACATTCGGAACACCGTATGAAAGAGGCCTAAGTAGTAAGTACCGTTTAACCACCTCCTGCCCGCCATATAGTAATATGACATGTGCAAGGTGGTTCTCTCGTTCTGGGAGGATGTCATATGACTTCCTCCCATTCTCTCAGGGAGCGCGCAGCGCGGCGACCGGCAGTGCGCTGTGTCCCTCAGACACAGTGGATCACCGATCCACGGAAAGAGCTGAAGATGTCGGCTCAGTCATGTGATCAGCTGTGTCCAATCACAGCTGATCACATGTAAACAAGGAAATGCCGGTTATCGGCATTTCTCTCCTCTTGAGCTGTCAGCGTGACAAGCGTAATCGGCATTCCGCGGAGGGGACATGTACACTGATCATCAGAGCACTGATGATCAGTGTGCCCTGATGATCAGTGTAGCCCCAGCAGTGCCACCTGTCAGTGTCCATCACTGCCAGCTGTCAGTGCTCATCAGTGCCATGTGCCAGTGCCCATCAGTGCCACATCAATGCCACATATCAGTGTCCACCAGTGCACATCAATGCCACATATCAGTGCCCATCTGAGCTGCCTTTCAGAGTCACCCATCAGTGCCAGCCAGTGCCACCTATCAATGCCAATCAGTGCCACCTATCAGTGCCAGTCAGTGCCGCCTATGCAGCTGCCTATCAGTGCACATCAGCCCGCCTTTCTGTGCCAGTCAGTGCCGCCTAACAGTGCCAGTCAGTGCCGCCTATCAGTGCCGCCTATTAGTGCTGCCTTTCAGTGCCCATCAGTGATGCCTGTCAATGCCCATCAGTGCCTCCTCATCAGTGCCCATCAGTTCCATCTATCAATGTCCATCAGTGCAGCCTATCAGTGCCCACCACTGCAGCCTCATTAGCGCGCATCAGTGAAGGAGAAAAATCACTTATTTACAAAATTTTATAACAGAAACTAAGAAAAAACTTATTTTTTTCAAAATTTTCAGTGGTTTTTGTTTTTTTTTTAAAAAAATAAAAAACCCAGAGTTGATTAAATACCACCAAAATAAAGCTCTGTCTGAAAAAAATGATAAAAATTTCATATGGGTACAGTGTTGCATGACCGCGCAATTATCATTCCAAGTGCGATAGCACTGAAAGCTGAAAATTGGCCTGGACAGGAAGGGGGTATAAGTGCCCTGTAGGCAAGTGATTAATGAAGAGAATACATTAAAGTAAACAAAAACTTTTGCCTTTACAACCACTTTATGTTTTCACTCCAACTTTTGCAAATATAAATCTGTAATATTAACCAAAGCTTTTTTTATTTTAGTTTTGGATATAGTGGTATTGGCAAAGGTAACCCTCTGTCAGTCTATTTACATAAAGAAAAATGTTTGGCAAGAGTTCAGATTTTATAATGTACAGGATGGCAGTGACATAGAGAAAAGTTCAAATAGCGCCTATTACCTGATTAAACATGACAGTACCCAGCTGTGTCTAAGGAATGTTGCTGAGCTTACAGAACGCTTCATGCTAAAATCCATGAAAGGAATGTATGCATAGAAGAAGTTTGATGGAGCCATTGGTATCATAATTGTTTATTTCAGGTACTTACAGTTGTGACCAAAATTATTCAACCCCCACTGAAATTGAGTGTTTTTGGCCAGTTTGACATTGCTTTTGATCATTCAGTCTCATCTTGCTTACATTTACATTAAAGAGGCACTTGTAGGTCAGACAAATATAACATAACAGTTATAATGAAATAACCACAAATGTCTTTTCTGTGCTCACAGCATTATCAGTTTTATTCAACCCCCAAGTGACATTCAATCTTATACTTAGTACAGCATCCTTTTACAGTTATAACAGCTTTTAAACGTGAAGCATAGCTTGACACAAGTGTCTTGCAGCGATCTACGGGTATCTTCGCCCATTCTTCATGGGCAAAGGCCTCCAGTTCAGTCACATTCTTAGGCTTGCGCACTGCAACTGCTTTCTTTAAGTCCCACCAGAGGTTCTCAATCGGATTTAAGTCTGGTGACTGCGATGGCCACTCCAAAATGTTCCAGCCTTTCCTCTGCAACCATGCTCTAGTGGACTTGGAGGTATGCTTGGGATCATTGTCCTGTTGAAAGGTCCAACGTCTCCCAAGCCTCAGGTGTGTGACGGACTGCATCACGTTTCCATCCAATATCTCCTGGTACTGAAGAGAATTCATGGTACCTTGCACACGCTGAAGCTTCCTTGTACCTGCAGAAGCAAAACAGCCCCAAAGCATGATTGACCCTCCACCA